TCCAAAAGGCAGATGTCTAATATTAGCGGCCACGGTTTTGAAAAACAGTGTGCAAAAAATGTGTCTCCCTTCTGACAGTCGAGAGTGCAAGAGGCCTTGGGCAGACGTTTAGAAGTGAAGGAAAACTTCTAAAAGAATGTGTACATGTGGAGATCAGGCACCGCTAACACATCACACCTGGCCCAGCACTTCCAGGTTAACCCTGTGGAGACGGCAGTCGCCTGTGCCCTCAGGGGAGACAAAATACGGACGCAGTCTTGGGGGGCACGAGTTGTGCTGAGCTTTTGATCTCGCTGTGGGACATGGTGGTCTTGATGAACGTCACATTGCTTGCTTATGTTAAAGCATCATAAAACACTGTGTCTGGCTCATCTCTGTTTTGGAGTTTTCTACAGGTCCTGAGTGTAATATCCAGAATTCCCTTAATGTAACGAATGACCAACCTGTCAAAAGTGACAGTAAAGACATTTATAAGATTTCAAATGATGTTTCAGATAAATGCTGTTCTTTTGAACTTTATATTCATCAAAGAGTCCTGAAGAAAAAGTATCATGGTTTTCCACAAAATAGAAATCGGCACAACTGTTTTCAACATTGGTAATAAGAAATATTTCTTGAGCAGCAAATCACTCACTCTCATCAGGAGGCCTGTAAAATACGCACACACACACACACACACACATGCATGCATTCCAGACTAATGACCCTTTTTCGCTCTCCTCGATATTATTTATTGGCATTTTGAGTAAGTTCACCTGATTTTCTTTGTAAAACGCTCTCTGCGTCCTTGTATTCCAGCGCTATCTCTTCCCTTCACTCCTTTTCTCTGGACTGAGTAAATATGTTTCCTGTTGATGTGGCTCCTGTCAAAAGTGACAGTAAAGACATTTATAAGATTTCAAATGATGTTTCAGATAAATGCTGTTCTTTTGAACTTTATATTCATCAAAGAGTCCTGAAGAAAAAGTATCATGGTTTTCCACAAAATAGAAATCGGCACAACTGTTTTCAACATTGGTAATAAGAAATATTTCTTGAGCAGCAAATCAGCATATTAAAATGATTTCTGAAGGATCATATGACATTGGTGACTGCTGAAAATTATGCTTTGCCATAAAAAAATGATTTTACCATGGTACCATGTCTAAGAAGTTGGGTAAACTTCTACAGCGGTAAACGGAAAGTACAACAAATGTAATTTTGCGTTCCCATTGGCTCTAATAGCAAAAAATAAAAAATAAAAATCCATGCTAGCGTTTTTGACTTTCCAAAAGAGGAAAAAATGTTGAGAGATTGATTATATTGGTCAGGCGA